CAACTCATTCAGAACTCTGCCGCCCGCATTCTCACCCGCACGAAACTCCGCTCCCCGATCACCCCAGTCCTTGCCAGACGGCACTGTCTGCCTATCCCAGAGAGGATCGATTTCAAGATCCTCACCTTTGTATTCAAGTCCCTGCACTCCTCTGCAACCCCCCCTACCTCTCTGACCTCTCTCCTCAGCACAGTACCCGTTGCCTTCGTTCCTCCGGGTCTGGCCTCCTCCTTGTCCCCCGAGTCCTCCGCTCCACCCTTGGCGGCCGTGCCTTCAGCCACTATGCCCCGAGGCTCTGGAACTGCCTTCCTCACTCCCTTCGTCTCGCTCCCTCCCTGCCTATTTTCAGGTCTCTGCTGAAGACCTTTCTTTTCGACCGCGCCTTTGGTCACCTTCCTCCCCCTCCCCCTGGCTCGGTCCCGGGATCCTAAACTGTAATACGCTCTGAGACGTCGTCCGGCGTGGAGGGTGCTATATAAATCCAGGTTGTTGTTGTTGAATATAACTTAAAGATGGTTGAGGAGAAATTGGAACAAAGCATTAGAAATGGTTCCCTTACCTTTTAATAAAAGTATCTCTAACTGGGGTCATCATGTACAGAGTAACGTAACTCAGTATTGTGTATTGTTTCTGCCTAAGATCGTTTATTATGAATTGTTATCACGGACATATAAATCTGACTGATAGGTTTATAGAAAAATAACAGGCCTATCACAAGTTAACTGGGATGTTTATTACGGAATAATGAGTTGACTTTCTGTGGTAAAATGATTTACATTCAGTGTTCTCCTCCGCATTTAACAACCACTGCCGGCTATGACTCAAGGGCTAATGTTCTTGTTTTCCCTTTGTCACCCAAGGTTCCGACTCCACAGAAATGTCACGGGTAATTCGGGGGGCACGGATAATTCACATCCCATTCCTTTCCAATTGCTGATCCAACGTAATGCCTAACGTGCTAACATAAATAAAGTAGAGAGACTGTGATCACCCATTGGTGCCCTGATAACATCACAGTATGCTGATCTGACATTGAAAATGTATTACAGTATTTATTGTAACTTTGCGCTCTACTTTCATGTTTTCTTTCTTTGCTTTGAATGCTGGTGTGTGGGGGATGGGAGGAGTCTGTGGGCTAAATGGCCTCTTTGTATATTAGGCTAAGGCAGTGTGCATCAGCCAACATATCAACGAGTGGAGCCATCGTAACTGAGCCCAATTCTGTAGCAGCTTCATCCTAGCATGCAATGCTCTCCAATTATCCCAATTTGTTGCTGGCAGTAGTCAATGCACTGGAAAGCCTCATACAGGGACAGCAACCCATTTGTATAAAGGCTTTTTGGGTCAATCTGCTTTCTGTTCAATATGTTCTATTCCTTATGATTAGATCCATGAACTGGGCTGCGGAACAAAGATCTGCAGATTTTGCATGCAGCCCATTGAAAATATGACCCAAAACAACCATTTTGTGGCCAATGTTATGTGTTTATAAAGATTCGAGTGTACTTACAAAACAATACAATACGAAGTTTAATAAGTGGAAACCTGCTGCTATTACAAATTGTAAACATGTTTATGTTTGTTGTATATAAGTTTAGGTCCTATATCATCAGCTTTATTAGCTCCACTGTCACAGTGTGTCTGCCCTCTGTGTAAACATGAGAAAACTGAAAGGAATCGGGGACATGTTGTGTACAATGATTACAAAAGAGCCTTAACGTGCAAGTATAGTAGCTATTCAAGTGGGCTGGAATAGGCAGAAATAGCATCTAGCTCTTAAAGTACTTTAAAAGTAGCTGATGATGTGTTGATTAATGTATTCATATTAGACATCTGGATAGACATCTGCTTGAGAAAAGTATTGAAGGCTACAGGAATAACACAAACAGAGATGAATAAATACTTTAGATTACAAAGATTTGCAAAGAACGTACAACACAGAAACTTGCCACTTGGCCCAAACAGTAGGACTAAAGGCCTGGAATTCCACCTAGCCTTGGCCTGTAAGACTATTTTGTCCTAAGATTTATATCATGCAGGATTGTGGAATTGGAAAATTCTTAGGTTCTAACCCCAAGTAAGAAACAAGGAAAGCCTGGAATGAGATAAGGTATGGGACCATCAAGTCTGCCTTTCCCACAGTCTATGGCCAAGTATCATAGTTGTCATAATTATGATAAGTATCATAATTGGATTTGAGATACCGATCTACAAAATCTACAGATTCTAGTAGAATGGTGGAACAGGCTCAAGGGACTGAATAGCGTCCTCCTGTTTTCTATGTTCAGAGAATTGTTGGAGGTGCCGTCTTTTGGATGAGAATTTAAACCGAGACCCTGTCTGCCCGTTCAGGTGGACGTTAAAGATCTCCTGGCACTAATTGAAAAGAAAAGGGAGTTTCTCCTGGACATTACTGCGGACAAATTGGCTGCCGGGTTTACCTACAAAATACAAAAATTACACTTTACATTCAGATCCAGTGAAGCGTTTTCGAGACATACTTCCCATGTGAAAGGCGCTGTATTGAGTGCCAAGATTATATTTTTATTGATTCCGTGCCCATCCTCCACACCTCCACATACACACCGCTGGACATTTACTTTCCACTAATCACAGGATCACAGCTCAACTCAGGATGTGATCCCCAACGCAGGACTGTAATAGGACCCAAAATATGGTTTGGCACTTGTAAGGCGAGAGTGTTGGGAAGAAAGTACAGTAAAAGCTGATACTGGTGTCTGGATGCTGAGTAAGTAGCCTATTTATTTTAATCTCCATAGTCACTGTGATGCCTGTATGGATGCCTTTGTTAAATGATATTGTTTCCGGTGGGGAGGGCAGCTTTTTAATCTTCACATGAACTACCAAAAAGCCTGGCTATCACCACGCCTAGGGCCACACTCACCTTCCTTCTGCTTGCTCGGCTTTCAACCTCATGGGAAGTGTTACATTTGACATTGCCTCTGTCCCACTGAGAGGTGGGATTGTTAGAAAAGTAATGGTGATCAGGATATTGTGGGACACTCGCGACCTCTTTGATGGCTACTGCAAATTACTCAGCCGTAAATTCACTCTCAGCAGCTGAAGCTGGTGCCTTCCCACATCAAAGCTTAACAGGTTGCAGCATCCAAATCATACAGTACCATATAACAACAACAACAAGATTGCATTTATAGAGCGCCTTTCACGTCGGGAGGATGTCCCAAGGCGCTGGACAGTTGGGTCGTACTCTTAGCCAAATCCTACGCTTAGAATTAACAATAATAACGAATAATAATCAATAATCATAGCATTTGATACAGGGCCTTTCATGTCAGGAGTGTGTCCCAAAGCGCATCACAGGATGTACTGTGTATTTTGTAGGTGAACGTGACAGCCAATTTGTGCATGGCAACATCCCAGAAACAGCCACGCAGTGAATAACCAGTTTTATTTAGGGGGAAATTCACTTCTCTTTTCGAATCATGCGTGGGATCTTTAACATAGCTTAATAATAATCCTTGCATTTGATAGAGCACCTTATCACATCATTGAGCCATCTTAAAGCGCTTCACATGATTTTTACTGTAAAGTGCAGTAATTGTATTTTGTAAGTGAACATGGCAGCCAAACCTGTGCACAGTAATGTGCTGCACAAATGAATTCCATTGCACCAGAAAGCCATTTGGTTTGCTGCCTTGTGTTGATTTTGATGCTCACTATATCGTTAATAACCTACTTACAGCAAACACCAGATAAAAGGAGAAGCTCAATTCCATGTTTATTGTGTTAGCTCTTGTGCGTCTCAATGTCCTGACCTGTAGAGCGGCGTAAAGTGAATACATAGTACCTGAGCTGCAGAAGAAAAGAAGCTATCTTTGTTCAGGCTTTCTCTTTTTCTTCTTTCTGGGACATCCGGGGTGAGTGAGCGGGCAGAGGACGGGCTCTCACAACTCTGCCAATGGCACTCTGTAATCAAGCCTGTAATTGTGGAGTCCTGTAGCTCAGTGGTTAGAGCACTCGCTTTGCAAGTGAGAGACCTGAGTTCAATTCCAGGCAGAGGGCGAAACCTTGGGCAAGTTTCCTTACTCCACACGCCTAATAATAATCCCTCCAAAAACAATAATAAAAAGAATTAGTCATTTTCAATCTACGACTGTTTGTGGGACATTGCTGTGCGCAATTGGCTGCCGCGTTCGCCCACAAATATACAGTCAATTCACTTTACAGTATATTCTGTGAAGCGCTTTGGGACGTCCTCCTGACGTGAAAAGCGCTATATCAAATGCAAGGATTATTATTATTATTATTATTATTATTATTAAGCCTCAGTTCTTGTTTGCTTGCACCAAAACTCTTTGGAATTGAGTAAGCAGGGCACGTCCATCCATGATGATCAAACAGAAACTATACAGGTGTTGCATTTTTGATCGTTCAGTTTGGAGACTCTTAAGCTGGGTGATGGGTGATGGGCACAGTCACACATGTGCTGCTACAGTTCCCTTTGCCAAATAGCTGAATCACCTCCGATACAAACCAGGGTACATCTCCACTCCTGTTCCACTTGTTGTTAATATCAGTGTGTATAAGTTAATATCAGTGCAATCAGCCCAAAAGCTGGCTTTGCACTGCTGCTGCAGGTATCAGCATCGTTAAACCAGATGACATTTAGCCACATTAGCCACACAAATATTCCCACCGTTATTTAGAGAGTACTTCAGCTGAACAGTTGGAGGAGAAAAAGAACAACTGTCTCCAAGTGACGGGTCTGCCAAAGTGGGCTTGAACGTACAATGGCTGTATGTTGCATTGTAATGAGCCAAACCGAAGGAAACTCTAAAAATGTAAACACAGAGTTTTAAAGTAGAAATGAGTTCCTTCATCCGTAAGACAGGAAAATACTGATTTTGTGGATAATTTAAAGGGCCATTGTGAGTCCTGCCTGATTCACACACAGACAGCAGCTGGGGTGGCTATACTGTAATGCACAATGGCAAGAAATATGACTCATAAAACATGGATGCTGTAGCAAATGCAAAGTTATTTTTATTATTGTAATAAATGTAACTGAATTATCGCCCACAATAATATACAGTCAAAACCATTTTACAGTATATCCCGTGAAGCCCTTTAAGATGTCACGACGATGTGATAAGGTGCTATATCAAATGCAAGGATTGTTATGAATATTACTATTAATAATAATCAATATACATGTTCTTCTGATATAAGGCTAAACATGCTGAGTAAACATGTAAATCGTGAGTCTGTTTATACTATATTCTGGCTGTTTCCATGCGTCCCTTATAACCCAGTGAGCAACATGAATAAAAGCTAACCTTTTATCCCTTTTTGGTCCGACACATCAGAAACCCTTCATCATAATTAAAAGTATCCAAATCAATCTGAGAGTTCCATTTATGCCATCTAAACGTGGAAATTTCCAGGTCTGGAATGGAGTACATTACCTAATCCCGGAGAGTATCAGGTACAGATTGGCAAGAACCAAGGCTTGGGAACCCCAGCGCTTAGGGACATCCACCCGACGTAAAAAGGTGCTATACAAATGTAATTTTTGTTGTTGTGTGTGCTGGAATACTGTTGGAGTTTTTAAAATCAGCTGAAATCGCACAGCTTGCCATCGAAAGCACTGTCCAGCTAGGACCACCCTCACCGTTAGGGGTTTGACTTGCGAGGTTAGCAAGAGCTGTGTAGGAAGTACACCTTTCCCATTTTATTCCCCGTCTCTGCAGGGAATGCCCCACTCAACACTACCACAGTTGAGCTGATAACATGCAGGTGGAGGCTGAGAAACAAAGACATTAGCAGCAGACAAGGCTGATTAAAAACACAGGAACACAACCAAAAAAGGTTTGGCAAGAAAGTTGAAGGCACTTAAACCAGGATTTTAAATCGCGCAGCATTAGGCTCCTATTGCTAGTGAAAATTCTATTAAAATAAAAGAAAATTTACTGTCAATTTAGACCTGAGAATTAACGCGTGAATGGTCCCACATGAAGTGGAAACACATTACCATCTGGAACAGCGGAAGTAAGGCTTTACGAGACGACGACAGGATTAGTTTTTGAGGCCCAGTCAGGGGATTGCTTCAAAGCAGAATGAAGCCAAGCTGTTGTCTTACTTCCTACAGCTGTTCCCAGCCAGGGATGTGTGAGTCAGTGAGGTCCTACCGGCTTGTTGGGAAGCTGAGGGGTGTCCTCGGATCACTTGGCAGCCATGAAAACCACTTCCCGATGACAATAATTCCCCTTCACAAAACCAATGTCTTTTTACTCTTGTGCATCTGCTCTCTTGACCGCCGGGATCTGAGCCTTGCTGTGCTGATACAGAGTCCCAGGGGCTGCAGTGGAGGGAATTGAGGACCGGCACGGTTGATTGTCCAAAGCTATTTCTTATTTCCTTTTGTTTTTACTCCAAACAACCGGAATGTCCCAATAGTTTGTTCAGTTTAGGGGAGTAGGAGCCTGACCTGTTGGTAGCTCAGTTCCCGCAGTCCGATGATGTTGAACGTCCTTTCCTCGGGCACCGTCGGAGCTGACTGCAGCACCTGCTCTGTCCTCGAAGTTCACTGACAGCTCATCATTATTGATGATGTATTGTGTGTCGTCCTCTTTCTGATGATCCTGTGACACAAAACAAGGCACAATTATTCTAAAGTCCTGAGAAGACCGCAGTTACTACCACTGCTCCCCAAAACTCTGGAACTCTCTCCCTCAATCCCTCCACCTTGCCCCCTCCTTCGACCATGCCTACGGTCACTTCCTCCCTCCCTGTCTCGGGACGTGCTCAGCTACTGTCAAGCTCTCTAGGAGCTATATAGCTCCCCTGCATGAGGGGAGCTATATAAATACAAGTTGTTGTTGTTACTGCTTCCAAATGCCTGTTATCCCATTGCAAATATCTACCTGCCAAATGTTAGCGCAAAGAAAGTAACATGCTGATGTAATTCAAGATTCTCATCCTCACCTACAAGGCCATTCACGGCCTTGCTCCCTGCTACCTCTCCGACCTACTATCCCCCTACTTACCTGCCTGTACCCTCCGTTCTGGTTCCGGTCTGCTCCACATCCCCCACCCCAACCACCCTACCATCGGTGGCCGGGCCTTCAGCCTCTCAGCCCCTAGGCTCTGGAACTCCATCCCCCAGTGCCTTTGCCTTTCTTCCTCCCTTTCCTCCTTCAAGACCGGTCTCAAGACCTTTCTCTTTGACCGTGCCTTCAGCTCCCTTCTCGACTCTCTACCCCCTCCTCGCTCCCTCACTTCCCTCCCCTCACCCTGACCATTTCCCCCTTGCTCGGGTCCTGACCCAACTATCCAGCGCCTTGGGACGTCCTCCCGATGTGAAAGGCGCTCTATAAATGAAATGTTGTTGTTGTAAGATGTTACTCAATCACATTTATTTTACATTTGAGACCCATAGTTGAAGGGCCAAGGTCTGTAGTGTTGGACACTGCCAACATTGAAGCAAATCGAGGAGAGGAGGAGATGCATTGAGGAATGGGAGTAGGTGATGCCAAGCTTGGGTTTCAAGATAACCTGCAGTGACTGCGAGAGTGACGGGTTCCTCAGGTTTGAGGTTCTGGGAAGGAATGAGCTAGAGGAGGAGATGAAGCAGTGAGTGTGATGATGCAGGGAGGGGGATGTGTGTAGGGTGATGTATTCAAAGCTTGGGAAGAACTAAAAGATTTCAAATCTGTTTGCATCTTGAATATTAAGTCAGCATTAATTTAAACCACGCTGGGCATTGGAGTCAATTACAGATAAACATTTCCTGTTACTCATAAGCATTGAATTCCAATGGGCTAAACCATTTTTCCTTTACTCCCACTGTGCAGCAGACTGATCCAAGCATAACATTCACACACAAAATCTTAATCCAAACATATCGTTCCCCAGTTGCCTTTTTTTAATTTTTAACCTTGTATGCCCTGAACTCAAGGCAGTTCCCTGAGCACAGCGTGGTTTTGAAGTCTAATGATTGTGTTAACATGTTGCTGTTTATTTCTTCTTTACGGTTGGACTGAATTGTTAAATGGATAATTCATTCATTCAATTTAACTGAATTAAATCCAGCTCACGGTGCACAATCTTGGTGTTTTGTGCCACCCTCAGCTCTCCTTTAAGTTTTCGTCCAGTCCTTGACTGAGGTTGTTTTCCTCTCCTGCTGCCACATCACCCGCCTCCGTCCCTACCTCACTTTCAAAGCATCCCAAACCCTCATCCACGCTTTCATCAGCTCCAGACGGGATTTCTCCAATACCCTGATCAGCTGCCTTCCAGCTCAATCCCCACTCCATTCCTGATACAACAACTTGCACTTATATAGTGTGCCACACGCAGGATAGTATCCCAGGGCACAGAGACGCGCACACACATTAGATCATCCAGAGGAATATACTATAAAGTAGATTGACTGTATTTTTGGGGAGAAACACGGCAGCCAGTTGTGCACATTGGTGTCCCCAAAACAGCCATGAAGTGAGTGACCAATTTAATTTGGGGGATTGTTAGCCAGGATACCGGGAGACAGAAACTCCTTTCTCTTTTGGAATAGTGGCATGGGATCAGGTGGTTTAATGTCTTATCCAAAGGATGGAATGATATGCAACCACTTGATGGTTCTGAAAGGCAGGTTAGAGGGAGTCTGTCTGCTCAGTGCAGCATGTATAAGGGTCTCCCAGGGAGCGTGCCTGGCTGAACCTATCTTCATTAATAGCTTGTTTGCTCTGAAGTGTCATCTCTGCGTAGACTTCTAGCAAAAGGCGTCCTGTAGCTCAGTGGTTAGAGCACTTGCCTCGCAAGCGAGAGAGCTGGGTTGGATTCCTGGCAGGGTGAAACCTTGGGCAAGTTTCCTTACTCCACATTCCTAATAATAATGACTCAAGAACAAAAAAACAATAATAATTTGGTCACTCAATCCACGACTGTTTTGTGGGACACTGCTGCGCGCAGTTGGCTGCTGCATTTCACCCATAAAATATACAGTCAATTCACTTTACAGTATATTCTGTGAAGTGCTTTGAGACTTCTAGAGGATGTGATAAGGCACTATATCAAATACAAGGATTATTATTATTAAAAGCAGGATTCTTATGGCAATCCATTGGTTTACGAAACAGTTGGAAAAAATATCCCTCTATAGAAACCTGTAATAGATTTCTTTAAAAAAATGACACCCAGATCAAAGGAATCACAGACTTACTTGATAAGCTTGAGGGCTAGTCAGGAGCCTAGCAAGTGGCCCACACCAAGTTGGCAGGGTAGAGGTGAGTGGTGGGCCAGCATGTGTCAGAACTGGCTTTAAGTATCTGGCAGAATAGTTAAGGAAACAGGGTTTGGCTCTAGACCTGAAAGGCAAATCGATATAGAGTTAAACATTAATAGGTATCGCTCCTCCAGGAGCAGCCAGACTATGCTTCTTATGGCCACAGGACTAAGTTTAAACAGTAGTAATTGTAATAAACCCAACAATCAATATAGTGCCTTTCTTATCAGAAGGATATCTCTAAACGCTTTACAGGATTTACTCTGAAGTGTAGTTACTGTGTATTTTTGTAGGTGAACACAGCACCCCTTTTGCACACAGCAATATGCCACAATCAACCATGAAATGAATGGCCATTTGATAGTTCCATTTGAAGGACTGGACTTGTGACAATGCAGTGCTTCCCCCAGAACTACACTGGAAGGTCATTCTTTGAGCTCAAAGACCCAATGCGGCCCAATTATGTCCTAGAAACAGCCATGAAGTGAATAACCCCAATTTGATTGTTGGCCAAGACCCTGGGAGAAACTCCCTTCTCTTTTCAATTCGTGCATTAGATGTTTAATGCCTACCTGACCAAGTAGATGGGACCTCAGATTAACGTCTCAGCCAAAGGGAGGCACCTTCAACAATGTGACACATCTCCAGCACTGGATTGTCAGGCTAGAGATATGTGAGTTTAAAGTCTCTATGTGGGTCTTGAACCCACAACCTGCTAATTCAGAGGCAAGAATGCCTTCAATTGAGTCAGGCTGACATGTGCTACAACATATATACCTGCAATACAAGGTGTTATAGGCCTCTAGCTATTCTGAAGTGCCTCTGATACCGACCTGGTGGCTAATAAGGGCATTCGAGTTGATCTATATATACACACAACCAATCTGATATAAAGTCCTGGAGATTAGCAGCACTGAAACTGCACTGTCTGTTTAGGTGTAGCTGGTTATGTTACTCCCTCTTACATGTTTCCCAGAGAGATTTCCCAAGGATATTTTGTTTTATTTGAACATTCACATCCTTCGGACAAGACATTAAACTGAGGTTCTGTCTGCCTGTTCTCGTGGATGTTAAAGATACCATAGCACTATTCAAAATGAGAAGAGTGTTTCTCCTGGTGTCCTGACCAACAATCTGCTTAGATAAATTTAGGTTGCAGTCCAGGATCTAGTCTAATGTCTGAGCTGATCAGTCACTATTGTGGTTATAATTAAATATTTGCAGCTTGCACCAGGCTGTCTTCAAACTGGATTCCAGAATGAAACCAGCCTCTGAAAAACATCTTGTGGACAAGATGCACTGCAAAATACTGGCACTGAAGATTCTACTACTGTTGGCTTCTGCAGTGTATTGATGGTGGTGGATGAGTGGTGAGAATTGGATTGTAAGAGTGAGGAGGTCTCCAGTCTGCAAGTTGATGTTCAATGATGAGATTGAACGCAAGAAACAAAACAAAAGGCACTGTAGTTATCATCAGGCTTGGGGCAATTCTGCAATAAAGGGGCAACACTTGAAAGTTATTCATGTCTTCCCTCCCCATTCCTCCCGAGCAGCGTAGGAACAGAATGGTCAAGACCCCTCACAGCCAGTGATCTCCATGTGATATTTCTAGCTATGTAGTTAATTCACTTTACAGTATATTCTGTGAAGTGCTTTCAGATGCCTTGAAGATGTGATAAGGTGTTATATCAAACTCATTAAGCATTATTATTATTATATACTTGGAATCAACGGTGCTCTGCCTTTCAGAAAGTGGAATTTCAGGTTAAACGTGAAACAGAAAATACCCAACCGAGATGTAATCTAGTTATCTAGTTTGTAGTCTTGACAAGTGACAACCTTCTTCCAGTTTTCAAGGAAGCGATATCCTCACTGTAGTTGGGAGGACTAGATAACCATTTACACATTAATCAGTGCCACAGAAATTGCATTTCGCGAAAGCATGACCCTCGACGCAGCTGGATGTTCTGCATAAAATAACTTTAATCATGTTCTCAACTGAGGTTGTTTTCATACTGTTAAAACTTCCTTGATCACTTCACCGAGAAGCTGACTCATTTCCCAATGCCCTACATATAGAGCCAGCACAGGAAAACAAGTAGACATAACTCTTTGTGTTGTCGTATGGTCTGCAAATCAAGTATGGATTAATGGATGCCGGGGGGGATCGACTTTAAAAAGACGTAGTGCAATCATTGGAAAATGCATAGAAGCCCCGAATTGCTGCAATTGCCTGTAAATTGCGAGCGAAATGTGTCCTTGAAGCAGAAATTACATTGGGAATTTCACAAACAAGTGGTGAGATTCGCCACAGACCATCTCGTCTGCAGTGCAGTAGGATTTGAAAGTTGTTCTTAATTGTAAGTACTTTCTTAAAAAAAATACCAAAATCTTACTCTCTTCTGTTTTGCAAAGATGAGAAGAAACTAAAGGGACTTAGTTATTATGAGAGGCTGGTAGAATAGGGTTATACTCTTTAGATCAGACGAGGTTAAGGGGTGATTTGATTGAGGCAATTTACATTAATGAAAGAAATTGACAGGTTAGATAGTGGACCACTCTTCCTTCTGCCAGAGGGGTCTCCCAGATAAAACTGCTCGTTCACAATATGGCTATTTGTGGTACTTTGCTGGGCACAAATTGGCTGTCACACAGTCACTACACTTTATAGTATAACCTGTGAAGCACTTTGCGATGTCCTTCCAATGTGAAAGGTGCTACATGCAAGGATTATTATTATTGTATATTATCCATTACAAGGGATCCTAGTATTAATATCAGAGCCAAGACAGTTACAGCTGAGGTCAGAAAGCATTTCCTCACACAGAAGCTTGTGCAGATGTGGAATGCTCTCCAGTAGACATGGAATCAATAAGCAAATTGAGAGAGAGATGGACAGATACTTGGGAAGTAGAGGTATTAAGGGATACGGCGAAAGGGCAGGATCTTTGAGATAAAAAAAATCTGCTAAAATCTGCTAAAATAATGGAAGGGGCTTGATGGGCTGAATGACCTCCTCCTGTTCCCGTGTTCCTAATAAAGAGGCATGCCCTCACCACCATCACTGCAGAAATACAACACATTATTTGAGAGGATGAAAACCAAATCAATTGATTTACAAAGCACTGGACTTTAAATTACCCTTTCCGCTGAAAGAACCGTTTTACTAAAACTAAGCATCAAGCCGAACCGCTGAAGGCACACACGCCTTTGTCAATAATGATTTTGCTGTTAGAGCACTTAGAATACTGCAATCTTGTGGTTGCCAGGGTGGGGGGGGTGGGGGGGTGGGGGGTGGTGGTTGAGAGAGGGGGGCTTGAAAGCTCGTTGAGATAAGCATTCTCATTTTTCACTGTCTAGCTGTTGAACACTGCAGCTACAGATCAGTACAGTGATCAATCTTCTTTTCATCTCACGTCGTCCCTCTATTCCATCACGCCCTTAATCTCTTTTCCATTTATTTATTAAATGGAATTTCTTCGCAAACACAGCAAGAGCGAGAGAGAGAGAGAGACAGAAAAATATATGTGTTGTGGTACTGTCGGGAGCTGAGGTGGCAGATGAAAGATGCGGCTCAAGACTCATCACTGTGGAAAAAGAGAAAGTAACTAGGGACCCATTGTAAATCTCTAGAATCTAATGTGTGTTTAAAATGAGTTATTTTTAAACCTAAATATACCCTTTTTTTTGTCAATTCCCCCTCCCTTCTCGAAGGTGCTCGATTCCTCAGTTGGGTCACTGTTTGTCCCATTGTTGTCCTTCACCTCCCATATCTCATGTGTGCGATTTGACATGGTGTTCTTGGCAGGTAATTTGAATACACACACGTGGGGGTTGGTGGTGGGAAAGGAGTCATAAAATTTCAGCTGCCCGTGCCCGACGTCTATGTATTTACGTATTCCAACCAGGGTTAATATTTAAGAATCCTTGCATTTGATGTAGTATCTATCTTATCACATCGTTGAGATGTCTCAAAGCATATCACAGGATTTTACTGTAAAGTATAGTGACTGTGTATTTCTGGGTGAACACTGTCATTTGAGATGTCAAACCAGTCAGGTAGACTTTCAAGATCTTGTGGGCACAATTCGAAAAGAGAAAGGAGTTGCTCCTGGTATCTTGGTGAACAAGCCCCCAATTAATTAAAAAAGTTTGTTCATTTTATAGCTGTTTGTAGGACATTGGTATGCACAAATTAGCTTCCGCATCTCACCCATAAAGTACAGTCACTCCATTTTACCGTATATGCTGTAAATGCGCTTTGGGATATCTTCCTGACGTGAAAGGTGCTGTATAAATATACATTCGATTGGGTGGCTCTTTGTGGCACGCTGCTGTGTGGAAATTGGCTCCTGCATTCAGCCTACAATATACACTCTCTACATATTAATAATAATCCTTGCATTTGATATAGCGCTTTTCACGTTTTCTAGACGTCTCAAAGCACTCCACAGAATATACTGTAAAGTGAATTGACCGTATATGATGCGGTAGCCAATTGCGCACAGCAGTGTCCCACAAAGACTTGTGGATTGAAATGACCAATTTATATACCTGTGGTTACCCGGATTTGGAGGAAATGTTCTGAGGCTAGTAAATGACCACAGAAAGACAGGAAGCACTTGTGTTGTCTATTTGCCTCTGGCCAGTGAATCCCACCACACAACATTGATTCCTTTCAGCAGATAGCAGGCTATTCTCGTCTGTACGTTCTAGTGAATTTGTTTCTTTGGATTAAGTTTCCATATGCTAAGTTTATCAAACTTTCCCTTTTAAAAGGAAGCTGCTGCATCGTTTAATTCGTATTGCCATTCATGTCATGTTATTTACAATTTGCATTTGTTATAAACGCACAGGGACCAATTGGCTAAATTTAGCTCACACTCACAAATTTGCTTCCTTTGGAAGAAATGTTTCCACTGAGAGAGTTTTGGGACATGGAACACCCCGATAAGTAAGGTGGTGGAGGCACAGTCCATTTTGGGTTTTAAGAAAGAAGTAGCCAAGTGTATGAGAAGAGGCTTGAAGGGCTAATAACTATCC